TCTTCACGCGATCGGTGAGACGGCACAGACCGAGGCGCAGCCTGGGCGGGTTGTCAACATCCCTGAGTTCGGCTCCTTTTCTTCTTCTTTTTTTTTTTTTTTTGTTAATCTCCACCCAAGGATATTTTTCCCATTGAATTTTAGAGAGAGTGGAAGGGAGGGGGTAAGAGAGAATGAGAGAGAGAAACATCAATGTGAGAGAGACACACTGATTGGTTGCCTCCTAACCCTAAGCCTAACCCTCCTGCACACACCCAACTGGGCTGGGGACTGAACCTGCAACCCAGGTGCATGACCTTGACCAGGAATCGAACCCAAGACCCTTCGGTCTGCGGGCCGATGCTCTAACCACTGAACCCACTAGCATCCTTTTCTGATGCCCGTGGGGGCAAACTTTCTTGGCCTCCACACCCCTGACATGTTTGGCCGATGGTGGCATTGCGGGCTGGACGAGGTATTGTGGGGCTGGGCTGTGGCGTTGGGTAACCAATGACAGTGTTGGGGGGCCGGATGGTGGTGTTGGGGGCCGGAGGGTGGTGTTGGGGGCTGGATGGTGGTGTTGGGGGGTGGGCTGGGCATTGGAGGGGGCTCAGCGTGTACCCAGCAGATGCTAGGAGCCCCTCCCGGGCCAATGTGACAACAGAAATGTCTCCAGAAGTTTCCCACTGTCCTGCGGGCACAGACTCCCCCGTGGAAACCCCTGCACCGGAAGGGGAACCAGCCCCCAGCTCTGTGGGGGCCCAGGCATCGCTGCCCAAGGGTCCCTCATGGCCTGGTGACGCCTCCGAGCTGTTCGCGTCCCTTGCCCACAAGGGGGGCCTCGGCTGGCCCAGGCGGCCGGGCTCCCGGGCCTGAGCTCTCTCGTGCCCGGGCTGCCGCCCCACCAACAGCCCCTCACCACAGCGGTCGCCTCCCTCAGCCTGTGAGCGCGCTGTAAACACACCCCTCAGGGGTCCTCGCCTCCCTCCTCCGTACCCCCATTAGTGAAACTCATCCGGACCACCCCGCACAGCCAGCGTGGTGATGGACACCGGTCTCGGGGGCGAGTCATGCGTGGGGGTCGGGGTGGGCGTGGGTCCTGGCTCCCCCCACCAGCCGAGTGTCTGCAGACAAGCCGGCCACTCCTGGGGCCTCAGTCTGACCTGAGAAACGGGGAGATGAACTCCCTACGAGGGTCTGTGAGATCACATGTTCATGATGAGAGCATCTCAGGACAGTGCTATGTGGGCATCCAATAAACACGCAAAATGCCACCGTGCAAAGGACACGGCGAGGCTGTGGCATATCTGTGTCCACATCGAACGGAAGATGCTCTGCTTAAAGGGTCCCGCGTTTCCTAACGGGCCATGCGATTCTCCTCACTAGTATCTTCCCAGCGACTTAGCAATGTCACAGCAACATAACAAAACGCCGAGGCGGCCGTGGGACACGATGGAATGGACAAGGAGATTGACGCAGCCCGACAGACCGCCACAGGGGCTCCTTCGTGGCCTAGTTCCAGCTCCGCGTCCAGCTCCGCAGGTCACCAAAACGAAGACGTTTTTGGTTAAAAACCTTCTGGTTAGGGAATGGCACGCGCAGCATGTCCGTGACTCATTCACTGCGGGATCTGAGGCGCGTGACCTCTGACAAGAACGCCCCCTCAGAGATAGTTTCCGCCCACATTACATGCCGGGACACAGTGAGGCCGGGGAGGGAGGACGCGGTGCTGGTAAGTCCAGGCGTGAGGAGCCCAGTCCGTTCTTTCCATGCCAGAGACCACCAACCCCTTCCCCTCCGTCCCGCAACCAACCCAGACAGCACCCACCAACAGCTCGGAAAGAAAGCGGCCCCCGAGAGGGGCAGTGCCATCAGGGTGCACACCTGCGCGGTGGGGGCGGGGCCTGGGGGGCACTCGGGGCGATTTCTCTGTGGGATCAGTTTACCCTCCAACTCGAGAAGTAGAAGCGGGGGTGGAGGGGGGCGGCCGGAGTGACCCAGTGGTTGAGCATCAACCTATGAACCAGGAGGTGGAGGTTCGATTCCCGGTCAGGGCACAGGCCCGGGTTGCAGGCTCGATCCCCAGTGCGGGGCATGCAGGAGGCAGCCGATCAGTGATTCTCTCTCATCATGGATGTTTCTGTCTCTCATTCCCTCTCCCTTCCTCTCTGAAATCAATAAAATTATTTTTTTAAAAGAATAACAAAACTTTTAAAAAGGGGGGGTGGTGCTCTTGCCATGAGAGGAAGAGGGACGAGACTACCAGTCACGGCCGCTCGGAGGAGGAGCCCTTGACCCCTGTCCGGTGTGGGGTTTCCACGGAGGCCTCGCCCTCAGCGACCAGCCGGGGGCCACCGGGGCCACGAGGCCTGTGCCCCAGAGGTCAGTGCTGGACGCGTCAGCCCCGCTCACGGACCTCTCCGTCTCTGGCCAGATCGCGTCAACCCTCCAGGGAACGTCACGGCCGAGGTCCAGGGGAGCCGTCTGCACGTGCGCTGGGAGAAGCCCGTGTCCGCCTTCCCGGGCCATTGCTTTGAGTACGAAGTGAAAATCCAAAACACAAGGAAGCGCTACCTCCAGGTGAGCCCTCGACTCTTCCCACGTGTGTGCAAAGGTCACTCCATGGACCCATGATCCAGGAGCCAGAGGTGATCTCTCCTGTTAGAGGCGGAAACAGAGGCTCAGGGGCTCGAAAGCTGCCCTGCGGGTCCCTGGAGGGAGAGCTAGGGTTCAACCTGCCCCGAAGTCTCCCCTCTTCCTGCTTCCCTGACACCCCCGCCCCCCGCACCCCCAGTTGCACATCAGGGATCAGCAAACTTTTTGGCAAAAGACCAGTTATTGTCGGCTTTGCAAGTCCCACGGTTTCGGCCGCTGTCCCCCGTGTCTTGTGTGGGACAAGTGCCGCCATCGGCGGCCCAGACGCCAGCGGGCACAGCGTGTGCCTGGCACTTCCCTCGTGGCCCGGGAGTCCAGGTTCATGTGCGTTGCCTGTGGCAGGGACTGCTACTCTTTCGCTCGTTTTCAATCATTTAAAGGTACAGAACGCATCTCAGTTCGCAGGCCCGGCGGAAGCGGGCAGCCGGCAGGAGGGACCCGGGCCTGTCCTTTGCTGATGCGACAGAGGACACGGAAGGCGAGGGAGCACAGAGGGAGGAGGGACACGGCGAGGGGCGGGGCACGGTGCTGTCAGCCACTCGGGTCCCTCAACGTGGGGACACCTCGGGGACCCAGGGGGCCATCGCGACCTGACACTCGCCCGTTTTATTTACTTGGGCTACAAGAGCGCTTCCCCCCGCAGGGTGACCGCCCGCCTCCCCTCCACCCCGCGCCGCCGGAACAAACTCGCCAGTGCGTGTCCTGTTGACGTGCAGGGGCTCACTGGGCGGCGAGTCCCGTTACGTACAGATGACCGCTCGCTCTGAGCGCAGGCATTACTGAGCTCCGTGTCTAGAGCTTTACTAGAATCCAACTTTTTTTCCCGTTTAGACAGAAAAAATGACGACCAACGAGTTCACCACAACAGTTCATGACATTTCTAAGTATTGCATCGAAGTGAGGGCCGCCGTGAGCTCCGTGTGCAGAGAGGGGGGGCTCTGGGGCGAGTGGAGTCCAGCGATTTCCGTGGGTGAGTATCGTGCATTGGACTATTTATTTTACTATTTCTGTTTAAAAAATGTTTTGATTTTAGAGAGAAAGGGAGGGTGGGGGGAGAGAGAAACATCTATCAGCTGCCTCCTGCACGCCTCCTGCTGGGGATCAAGCCCAGAAGCCGGGCACGTGCGCTGACCAGGAATCAAACCAGAGACCTCTCAGTGCCCAGGATGGCGCCCAACCCACTGAGCCACACGGGCCAGGGCCCTTGCTTTCCTCTTAAAGCCAGCAGGCTAATTCCTGGTGAAGGCAGAGAATCCCGGCCCACGCTCTAACTGCTGAGCCACACAGGCCAGGGCAGGCGCACACGTATCTTTTGAAAAACAGAATTAGCAGTTTCACTTTATCAGCCCTCGCATCACCTGCCCTTCCTCAACTGGCTCCCAGGTCTTATCGGGCCGCTCACTTCCTGCTTTCGATGTCTTTCTCTTTTCTAAACTTGCTCAACTTCTGCATTCTGCTGTCCCCGTTGTCCTCGCTGCCTCCGGGCGATGCCCCCTTCCCGACCCTGGGGAGCCCTGCCCTCTCTGAGGTCTTCCCCTCTCGCCCCAGCGAAACGCAGATGCCACGCGGGAAGCCTCGGGGTGGAGAGGGGACTTCCGGCGGCTCCGCCCTTCCCGTGGGCGCCCACCTGTGTCCACTTGCGCTTACTCCCGCCCCGTGTCCCGGGTCAGGCTCAGGCACTCCTCGGGGACCAGGTCACCTCAGTCCCAGGTTGTGCCCCTCAAACAGGGCCTCACCCGGCCCTCGGAGGCCAGGATCTATGGGACGCCTCACAGGTGTCAGTTGAAATGCATTTTAGGGGATTCAGGGTCGAGGGGTGCAGCGCGTGGCCCTGGGCAGCACACCTGTCGGAGGGTGTGCAGGTGGCTCAGCGGTCAACGCTGCGGGGCAGAGGGTGGCAGGCCTGCGCATGCGCTTCTGGACGCAGGGATGGTCCCGCCCCTCACCCCCCCCCCCAGGGGGGACTGGCCGGGGTGCTGCTGGGAGAGCCCCCCTCTGCCCCTGTTTCTCCCCTGCAGGCTCCCCCCCTGCACAGCACCCAGGGCTGCAGGCATTCCGGGGCCCAGCCCCCCAGGACTTTCTTCCCTGTAAGGCAGGGGTGGGGAGCCTTTTGTTTCTGCCAAGGCCCACAAGGATAATCATAACATCATCCATGGGCGAAATTATCCACTTAAACATTCTGCCCTGGCAGGCTGGCTCCATGGATAGAACATCGGCCCACGGACTGAAGGGTCACGGGTTCGATCCCGGTCAAAGGCTTGTACCCGGTTGCAGGCTCCATCACCGACGGTGCTGGAGGCAGCCAATCAGTGTGTCTCTCTCACATCGATGTTTCTCTCTCTCTCTCTCTCTCCCCCCTCCACTCTAAAAATCAATGGAAAAATATCCTTGGGTGAGGATTAACAAAAGTTAATAAATAAAATGTATTCTAGATAGTAATCTTTGAAAAAAAATTAGCCTGCTAGATTTGGTCAAACACTTCATTAACTCACTCCGAATGCCGTGGCAGGGCCGGACCAAATGATTTCACGGGCCCTCGGACCGGCCGTTCCCCACCCCTGCTCAGGGCTCCGGACCTACTGAAGTAGCTAAAGGCTGCGGTCAGGGTGGAGCAGTGAGCCAGCAGGGCCCAGAGGTGTAAGCCTGGCCTGCCTGGCTAGGAGGTGACCTTGAGCCAGGAATCCAGCGTCCAGGGCCTGCTTTGCACCGTGGGGCAAAGTGGGCATGTGTCAAAACGGCCGGAGAGCTATCCCTCTGAACTCTACGACCACAGCGTCCCAGAGCAGGCGAGGCTGTGCCCAGAGGGAGGGCCCCAGAGGCAGAGCTGGGACCAGGCCTCCGTCTTATCCCCACCGCACACCCCAGGCTGCCCACCCACTTCTCTGGGTTAGAAAACATAGAATTCTCACGAATTGGCTCATTCTCGACGTTGAATGGCCAGATGTCAGAAACGATGGAGGCCCAAGTCCCCAGAAACCGAGGCCGGGCCATGTCTGAAAAGCGACGGATGGGGTACCCTGGGGGCCGCACCACCAGGAGACTTCCTCTTTCCAAGCTCACCTCTGCAGGCGCACAGCCCACCCACCAGTTTCCTGAAAAGAAACCTCTATGAGTTTCTCCTTGAGTCAGAAAATTCACCTTCTAGGGAAACACTTGTTCTTAAGAAATTCTCTGAGGCCAGAGACTCCAGAATTCAAATTCATCCTTCTCAGGGGCGGCCCAGCTTTTACTATGGCCTTGAAGTGCCAGCCATCGCCAGCGGGGAGACACCCTG